GGACATGCGAATTGAAAAAGGGGAGGCGGTGACAATGTATTTTTTCCCGACAAATTTCTGTTCACGGTTAACAATATTAGCAACAGTAACAACAGCAAGAAAAAGAAAAGCAACAACAACAGAACTCGAACAATTCCCACCATGAGCGAATGGACATCCAACCCTTTTCCTGGTACTCTTTTCTGTGAGCATCCAGTCTGCTCACTGTCTTTTTCTGGACGACAGGCACCCTGAAAGTCCCTGTCAGTTTGACTCAACATCACAACCAAAGACGACAGCTTGAACTATGAGCCTTGAGAAAGCGAATTACACCCCCCAAAAAAATTCTCGTGATGTCATTTGCAGTAAGCAGGTTCGTAGTCACTTGCTGTTTGACTAGGTTCACATTTTCGCCGACTCCGTTCATCGAGGGTGGGTTGTTGTTTTGTTAGTTGAAAACATGAAGACCAGAAGAGCTGCTCTCTTGACATACTATTAGCCGAGACACGACCAATAATTATCTTTAGCAAATAGACTACATATACAGGCAAACGTCTGATAAATACCATTGGCCTCTCGTGCAGTGTATAGACATAGCGTGAGAGTCATCAAGAGTCAGAGCGAGGCGTAAAATACGCAATTAACGTACCATTTCTATTTCGTGGATAATCTCCTGTCACGTAAGGCGCTCCGTTAGCTCAGTTGGTATCGTGCTGGAGCACAGAGCGGATGGCTTTGGTTCGAATTCCAGACTGGGCGTTCTTAAACTCTGGTCGTCTTGTGGAGTTTTCCAAGCTCTCAAACCATTTGGCTCGGTCCTATCGGAAACGGACATTAATTTGAATAAGGAGGTGCTGCCTCTTAAATTGCCTAACAGTGTTGAGAGGGGCGTTAAAGTTTAACTTAACTTGTACACTTATGCTTACACTTCTGATGCGGGAGGTTCTGGAACTTACACCCACGATATCCGATGGAATACGGTACTGTTTCCCATATTTCCTGCACTGAATCCATGCCTTTTCTAATGCCGCTTGGTTCAGGTCCTCTAAGTTCCCATTCCCAGGGTTTGTTGTGCACTTATCACCCTAAGCAATGAATCAGTCATTCTTCCGTTTCCCTGCACACTTTTGAAGTTATTTATTAATTTTTGGCCCTTCTTTTTCATGTTTTCTCCCCTTTTCTTCTTTCCCTTAAGTCTACTGTGGCAAACTTTTTTTTTCTTATTGAGTGTTTTAAATATTTTTTTGTTTGTTTGTGTGTGTGTTTGTTTTTTTGCTTGTTTGTTTATTTGGTTGTTTTTCGAGGAGGGGGGATTCGGGGGAGGGGGGCTCTCTTTTTTCGTGATGATGTCGGAACCACGGTGCACTAGACATGCAATGACCGTAGGAGATGTTGTTTATTAGTTTCCTCCCGAGGTGTGCTCTTTTTTAATTGTTTCGTTTGCCAAAACCAGAATAACAATGATGCTTTCAATTTTGGAAGTGCACGAATGAGTGGCGTTTAGAAAGCTGCTGGATTCTCCTCTTCTCTTTTGAAATAGTGGGCAATTGAAATGGAATCGAGTTATATTAGCGCCGTGAGAACTTGCTCACGAGCGCATCATGCATATTTAAACGATACATAAATGTTTAGAATCATCTGTAAAAATTAAAGTGGATTTCTGATTGCCTCTTTCAAATAACGTTTGCTGATCAATTCGATGTTTTTTTTTGTTCCCGTTGGCAAACGTCAGATCCGGCACATGATACCCAGCGGTGGTCGTGTTACCCGTGAAAACTGTTTTGTCATTCTGGTCTAAAGACGAGCTCTCCTATTTGCCTACCATCGTGACATGCTCCAAATACATGATCTCCCCACCTTTTCACCCCCAAACCGACACTCTTGAAATGTTTCTTCTCCCCCACCCCACCCGTCAAAATACACCAAAGGACGACCACGTTTTGTCAATTAGTGTCTGTGCTGTCATATGAACTATCTCTCTTGTGACAAAAAGATGCAAGTTGGATTATGCTTGAGGAGAACAATTGATGACCATTGTGCCCAGAGATGAACGAGCCCACCTCTTTAAAAGACTGAAAAATCCCCCAGTTGGAATACAGGCAGCAAGTTTACCTCCTGCACACCAACAGGAGTGTCAACTCCTCTAACGGAGGAAGAATAGGTACAAACATGTTGCCAAGTACATGTATATTATACTTTAAAAAAACCCAGCTACTTTTCTTTCATTCCAACTTCCCCACTCTTCACTCCGTATTCGTGCGTACGTATGTACGTACATAGATAATTCGTACATATGTACAAATGTAGATGCTTTCATGTGTACATGCGTACATACGTACGTACGTACGTTCGCAC